TGAATGGAGTGAAAAGTGGAATCATGTTGAGCAGGCCCGTGGAGCAGTAGCTCTGGCAACACTGCACGTACATAATACAATTACCTATGATTGCATTCAATTGTGTGCCACCTATTGGTGACCTGCTGTAACAGACGAAATCGAAGAACTCTACAATAGCTGTGAAAGCTGTAATTTAATTATTTTATTCCGATTTCGACATCACACTGACACCTAGAAATAGTTGTTGAACTAGTATATATATATAGGCTATATTCGGTCGGAAAGCTGTCGCGAAAGGCCCGCCTTAACAGGAAAAAAATTCAATGAAATTCTCATGGTTTCCTTCATCAGTAGTAGGCGAGGTACAAGGATTATAAACTCTAGAAGGATTGCCAGATCCCGCAAAATCTTCTGCCGTGATCACGTGATAGGGTATCAGAACTACGTCATCACTTTTAACGCAATATGGCCGTCAAATTGGAAAATTATTTTTATTGTATTTATAAAATATCTCAAATAATGAAATTGAGGGACATGAACTAGAATAATCAACTCAGGGTGTAATTGGAAGGTAATCGTTGAATGGTCTCACAGGCTCACAGGTTAGTAATTCAAATAATTATTATGTAATGTAATATTTTTGTTGCACAAATTACGAAAATGCATTTATTATTCATTGAAGTTTTTGGTTGTTTCAGATACTCTCAATAATAATGGGAAACCGAAGAATATCACATGGAAAAAATATGGTCCATTTCATCAACTGATGATAGTGATGATATCAGTAGACTTGGGATCATTGAGAATGCTAAGCAGGTATGTTAAACAAATATTTCTTCATAGTATAATTTCATCTTTGCTCTCATGTTTCAGTGAACTAGAAATAGATCTTTGACAGAGGAAGATGTATTGAAAGCTGATGGTCATTAAATATGTAGAGTAGATGAAGCAATAGCAAACACATAATAGGTAGGTATATAAAACTTATGTTTGCAAACATTAGCTCTTGGACAGCCTACACATTCTAAAGCATAAAGGTACTTGGCAAGCAGGGATGTCTCAGGATTTTTCAAACATATCTTCCCTATAAACAGGTAGTGTTATTTTTGTTGTATTACTGGTTCATCACAGCTCAGAAATGATCTTTTGAAATTTCAGAAATGAAGACTAAATGTGAGCTGTACAGATCTGAAGTAGAAAATAGAAAAGAAAGAAGAGGGTTCAGAGATAATGTTTAATATTCTGAGTGGATACATTCAAATCTCCATTAATTGTTAATTGAAACCATGTTGCAAGGCTATATTAGAGTATTTTATGGAAAATATGCATTAAAAGTTGCTATTGTAACTGGTAATTGAATTTTTGACATAATTATCATCTGATACTCACTTTGAATTATTTAAGGTTTACTTTCACATGATAGGAAGAATACTTGGAAAATAAACTGGTTTTTCCAGGAAAGCTTAAGAAATAAATTTGTCAAGCATCAAGGAAGCTACAACTTTCCCTACCTGTAAGTTGAATATGATTGTAGTACATAAGTATTTTAACATATAAAATTGTATATTCCTCTAGCTGAAGTTGGAAACATGTCACATTTTAACCTTTTAAAAATTATCAAAATCTGGAGAAAACTGAGGATTCCTACTTTCCTTTAAAAGTTAATCAATTTGTCTCACATTATTCCTCCAGATGGAGTTATTTTTGAGGATGAAATGATTGTAAAAAAAATCAAAATTCAGCTCAATTATTTTAAATTAATTAAATTTTCAGGTAAATAAATGGTTCAGAGAAATTTGTGGAACTGTGTAATTACTCAATACATGAATAGTGATACAAGAGGAAAAACATACACATTTTGTGGAGGAGGACCTTAGTAAAATTGGAAGGCACCCAATTTTTTCAGTGTATTATTTTCCTTAAAGTTGTATAGCTAGTAGTACAATAGTAAAATTCAAAGAAATATATTATGGATGATGATTTGTAAAGAATGTTTCAAGAATATGTTACATTATCATTTCACTAATTGTAATGAGTATTGTGATTAAATTTGATTTTCTGAAAAAACTTTAATTTCCTTATTGGTCTATAGGGGAATAAAAACAAGAAGAGTTGAAATCAATTCATTTTATTCAGTGGGAACAGTAATAGTGGAGCATTTGCTTATATTGGAAATAATTGAAAAGGTAACAACTTCTGTAAGTATTTCAAAGTATCTGTTTTTGTATATTAAAATTTGAAAACCTATAAGCTCTATGGCTAATATGAAACAAAGTTATTATGTTTTGATAAAATAGGGCCAACTTTCCTATCAATAACAATTTTCTTGAGTAGGTATGAACATTGTAGGATACATTTCAAGCAATTTGATCATAAAAATAATTATCTGCCAGATTTTGTTCAATAGCTGCATTGCTAATCTGAAACTAAGTAATGTTTTGACTTGTGAAAAATAAAAATACTAATTTTTCATATAGAGTAACTTTCCTTTTTACAAATTTTCAAGTGCTGACTTATGTCAAGAGCTTCATTAACCCATTATGACCGGAATTTCTTTTTTTTTAACTTTCTGGTTGAAAAATGGTTTGGACGCATTATTGGAGGGTTATTGATGTAGAAATGGAGTATTTATAAAAAATTTATTAGAAAATTTCGAAATACTGCATGTTACACATAAGTAACCCTAGGCTATTCGGTTACAGCATTAGAGAAATATTTTACATTTCTGCAAACTGGAGGGCTATTTGCCGTTACTATGAAAGATTATATTACATTCAATGCAAAGACCCAAGTCGCACTTTTTGCACATGGTTCTGGTACTTGTAGAGCAGCCTTCTCCAGCACACCGTCGACGTTTCTTGTTCGGAATTGACATCAATAGGTGATCTCTTCTATCATATCTCACTTCATCGGATATTCTATTCAGTGACAAGCTAAATTTGGATGTGGAAGGCCTTCCAGCACTTTTTGGGGTAATTCCATAACGACTCAAATAATTTTGAACCAGGGCTCTACGGAAATCTAGTTGGCTTATTTGATTATTCTTCTTGTAAAGTATCCATGAATTGATAATAGCTGCATCTAGTAGCCAAGTAAAAATGCTCCACCACCACTTCTTCGAACGTATAGCGATCCGATAGGTTGATATACCTTCATCCATCAGATCTGTTCCGCCCATATTACTGTTATATTGGCCAATAAGGAATGGACGAGGAACATTTATGAATTTTTTTTCAGTCTTTGAATATCGTTTCACATATCCAATGGGATTCACACCATAACAGTTAGAACCAGCTGTCACAATATTATTGTCCGCCCATTTTACTATGATGATTCCATGATCTTTGTCGATTGCAGATACATAGCTACCACGATCTTTTTTTTGCATGGTTTTCTTATGAGCAAGTGGACAGCTTTTGGGAACTCTGTTTTCTCTGAAAGTACCACTCCCTCCGTACCCCTTCAGACGTAAGAAATTCAGTAAATCTACGCTCATAAACAAATTATCTAGGCTGAATTTGTATGGATATTCAGGATGTGGCAAGTCTGCTAGCATCGAAACGAATGGCGCAGTACATTTTCCAAAAACTCGTTCATATTCTTCAACAGCATTTGGATTCTTGCCTTGATACATATCGAAGTCGACAAGATATCCATCCTTTGCATTCAGGCACCACATTTTATAACCGAAGCGAATTGGTTTTCCCCTTATAAATTGTTTACAACTGTGACGCCCATAATACTTTATCATCGATTCATCAAAGTCTAAGTGTTCTTGAGGTACAAAATACTGCAGACATTTTGCCTTCAGTGAGTTCATCAGGGGTCGTAATTTATACATTTTATCGGTGATATCTATGGAACTGTTATCAGCCAAATGAACGAACCTCATTATCTGAACGAATCTGTCACGTGTCATGGAATCACTCACCATAATATTTCTCATGTCCAATCCACTATCCCAAAAATGCCGTTTACTTGGTTTACGATCATATCCACTCAATATCAATATTGCTATGAATGTTCTCATTTCTTCCGTAGTGATTTGAGGATCGAGACAATTCTTGAACAGTGAATACTTTTGAGTTTCTCTAACAAGTAATTCTATAATATTGTCATCAATAAACATTTGGAACATTTCAACAGGGGATTTTTCAAGAAACTGATTATAGTTTTGTTCCGGAAATATTCGACTGCTGGAAACCTCCAAATCCTCATCTTCCTCCCAGATAATCCTATCTTGAAGGCTGATTTTTTCTGGTAATGAGGTTCTATCGTTACGTATTGCGATATCATCTGAAATTACCTCCTCATTCTCCTGATTATTGGTAGGCAATCTTTCTGAGTTTACAAACTTTATTTCAACTTTACTTCGTAGTTGTCGGCCACTGAGATTATCTAATGCACCTTCACCATCTTCATCGGCTGAGTCCTCATCGGTAAGAGCTGTAGGATCGGGAGGTTCAATGAAAATTTCCTCGATATCATCCAGGTAGGCCATTTCCAATGCCTCTTGCAATGTGAGACCCGCTCTGGAATCAATATAGTACTTCAGTTGAAATGCGAAAATCCAATGATCTGAAAGCCTAGCGTTACTTATATGTAACATCAACAAATGAGAGCCCCTCAACTAGACCAGTTTTGACAAATGTCAAATATTACATATCCATTATCAAAACTACATATTCAAATACCCATATATTCGATTATAACAATGAATGACTGACAAATTCATTTTATATAGTACTTACTCGAAGCGAATGTCGGTCTCATCGTCCATGCTCATGCTCGGCTCCAAAATAATTCACAAAAGCAATACTTTCAGTTGGAATATCACGATGCAACTGAACGTTTTGATGATTCAACTACCGAGGATCAGGTTTACAGCGCCATTCAGTGGAAAAGTTCATATATGTTGCATTTGTGGTAATAAGCAGGAACCTTTACGTGCGTTACATATAAGTAACGCTAGGTCATAATGGGTTAAAGATGTATCTTTTCTATTTGTATCTTCTGGCATTGAATCATTGTTTCCATATTCTTGTACTTTTCCCCAAATTGTCTATATCCTAGATAGTATAAAGTTGATGAAATTCTGTTCACATTTGATGATGATTGGACTTAAATGGACTTGATGTATTTGTTCCTGGCCAGTATCATTTCAGACTACTTCCAATAATTTTTCTGAATGGTCTTGTGTCTGCCCTGCATCATAGTTTTCTTGAATTTCTGCCAGTTCCAGTGTGGGAATCGCAGTTTTTTTCAAAATCCTCTTCAAGGGTGAACCTGTAACAAAATGCATGATAGATACAACTGTTATCTGAAAGTCAAGCATATAGTTTTGGGAGAAATGCAATCTTTACCTAATAATTCATTCTTCAAGTCTCTTTCATAATCTTCTATTGTGAAATAACAAGAACACATTCTACTTGAATCTGGATTGAACGTTGTTTTACTGCTACATCTGGTTATCCATTCTTGTCTGATGGTAACAAAACCAGGAGAGCTATGAAAAATAATACCAGCACCTGCAGTTTTGGAATAGGCCATAAACAGCACAGCACATTCCAGGCATTTTATTGGTTAATCTGTGAGAAATATACAACTGTAGGTATGTGTATTCATGTACAAGGATCACAATCAATACTCACAATGAAGTTGTTCTTTGCAAAGTACTTCACAGGCTGTAAAAATTCTCTGTATGCACTCAAATTCACAATGGTTAGGAGGCTTCGAAAGTCTCTTTCCTCTTTCTATAATCTGTAATTCAATGGTTGATAGCTGATGAGTGATCACTCATAAATAAAAGACATGAACAATTTCTCACAAATCACTCAAATCACACAAAGAAACCTTGGAAAGCTTTGAAAGATGTAACATTAGCGCGCGTTTGCTAAATATTTCAGCCATGTTTGTTTATGTTTTGTGTATTATTTCGACCAATAGGATCACCGCATGATCACAGAAAACAAAAGAGATGCGAAAGGCATCAGCATGACGTCACATTTTAGGGAATGCATTGGAAGATAGGGATCTAGCACTCCTTCTCTGTATACTCTCCTTGGGCGAGGTAGGTGCTGCTGCAGATAAAAAAACATGGGGATTCCCAGCCTTAGATCATTGATCTAAGGTCCCAGCAGGAAGATTCGATTTCTCCAATCCAGTCGTTTCTAGAATGAATCATGTTAACTGGATTCATTCCTGGATAGCTCAAGAGGAGTGGAATTGATGCGTTTTGTCAATCTGTCCTTATCCATCATCATTATTTTCATATTTTTCACCTTCATCTCAATTTGAGGTTACTATACTGGTATTTTGCCTTCATTTCTCCATCTAAAATACAAAACTACAAAAGTAGGTATATGGACATCGAAATACAAAACGTGACTTCTCTTATCTTGACGTCAGGGCTGTGGCACATATCTACTACTCATATATGAAGCATACCAGTCCTCAAAGCGGGACCAACTGGTAACGAAACCGACCAATAGGCGTTGATGCCGACGTAGGGAAAAAACAATACGACAATATGGCTACTAATTTCCAATCTTATTTCAAATTTTCCATCCTTCACTGTCCGTTCTTATAAATTCAAAAAGTACCTCTCAATTTGGTCCATAGAAATCATATTATATATTTGGTCCCATTTTTGTTGAGATATCGTATAGGCGATGCGCCATATATAGAAATAGTAGATATATGGTAGCAAGTAGAGTGAGTGACTATATTATTTATATAGTCACTCTAGTAGCAAGAACGTAGCAAGTGTAGCTGTGGCTGTTCGTGACCGAAAATATATAGTACTAGATCACACTTCGAAAAAGCGTTAGAATTGGGAATTTAGTACCGAATTTCTATTTTCTTCAAATTTGCGGCCCCCGAGGTGCTTGCATAGTTTTTATGCACAAATTCAAGCCGACAGAAATCAAAACAGTGGAATAATTTCACCATATGTAAATATCTAAATGATGAATGAAATTCAATTGATCAACATCAAACTCATGAGAAAAATATACAGAAACAATTAATTTTCATCATCCACTTGGCGACAATATGAACATCACCCAATAATCTCAAAACTAATTTAGTACTAGATTTCTACTAGAGCAAAGAGTACTTTGGTACTGAACATCTTCGAATAGTACTAAATCTAGTAATAAAGTAGTGACTGGAACAGATATTCATGAAGGAATCCTGGAGATCGGTAAATCAGTAAACTATGGTAAAAGTTTCCTGCTTTAAAATTGTGTGGCTCCATCTCACGCAGAGATACTACTACAACTCTCAAATTTCAGTGATCTATGAAGGACGAGGCGCTGAAATAGAAAATAGAGGGAATGAAAAAGAGAAGAGGGGATATATTATTCGTTTACGTTCATTCTACAGTAATGTCAGTAATATAGTATTCTAACAAATCTTGAGGACAAAATTTAAATTGAAACAGTGCGCATTCATCAGAAGAAAGAAGGATCAGATTGACAAAGAAAAGAAGACAAAAGGAAAAGTGGAAAATGTCTGTTCCCCCCATATTTTTGTTTTGTGTCCTGTGAGTCCTATCAAAGCTTTATTTGGTCTTTGGTCACAGTGTACTAGCGTCTGCGGACAGATGCAAGTAATAACTCCGTGGTAGGGGAACGTTAGTTAACTTGTGTCGAGTCTAATATAAGGAAGGAATTTTTTTTTAACAATCAATCGACCTATAGATGAACCTTTTTTCTTGAAGAAGGAGAATTTTTCTTGAGGAAGGAAAATATTGTTTCTGCATAAAAAATGAGAAAACCTAACCTATCTATTTTATGAGTATATCTGTACTTGTTTCGTTGACCTGTGTAAAACTTAATGTTTATTAACACCAAATAAAATATTCTATTCCATTCTATTCTAACCTAACCTAACCGAACCTCACCTCCGGCCTAAACATAGAAAACCCCTAAATGAACCTATTTCCCATAGAGAATATTTTTTAGAAATCACTTGAGAACAAGAAAAAAATAAAATAAAAATGAGCCTCGCACGGATTCGAACCCCGGCCCGCCGGCTTGGCATGCCGATGCTCTGCTTACTGAGCCAACCAGTTGCTTACGAGACGAAGTATGATGAAGTCATTCAGTCGGCGCCGCATAACGCCAGTCGCATCTACTGCCCACTATAACGGTCTCCCACCACGGAGTTATTACTTGCGGTCTTCCCGCAGACGCTAATCACAGAATATTGTGCTCCGTGCTTCTAGTCAATTTGATGTGCTTTGAAGCCTGTGCCCTGTGCGTGTATCGTGTATCTTGCATTTGCATCTTGCAAAATGGCTGAAGGCTGAGTAGTTCTTTGTGAGGATTGTTACTTCTTTTTTGGTGTAAATTGATATTTTGCTGAATTAAATGTGTTATTGTGGAGTGTTAGTGAAATTAAATCATCGAAAATCATTATATCCAAGTGTCATATTTGCAAGAGAAGCTGCAATATCTGGGAATACATCAGATTACTACACTAATGTTCAAGCAACTCAAATAAAAATACATGATAAATGAACTTGTACTATCACAAGAATGGCACGCTGGGGCACTGTAATATATACCTTATTGTGTTACGATTTGGTAAACACACAAATAAATATGCAAGGGGGTGAGTATAATGTCTACATAGATATTTCATAGAATTAATGTATGTAATCTGAAAATATTAAAGGTAGTACAGTAGATGTTATAGAACCTCCTATACAATAGTACCACAAACAGTACTCAATCCACTTTCAATATTATCACGTGTTGGTGCCTTTTAAAAGCTTGTAGGAGAGATGACTCATGGAATCTATCTGTTGCTCAAAAATTCCACTTGTTGCCATAATTTAAGAGTACTGGAAGGTTCAGAAAATTTAGTAATATTAATGGGCAAGTGCAATTAATTGATGAATCTTTTATCCTGAAGTGATAGAATAGTGCCTACCTACCTAGGTGCTTATTCAATTCTACAACCAAAAGTTGAGGATACCTAGTAGAGGTAAGTATCTTCTGTCACTGAAATTGAAATCCAAAACATTCTATCATTGAATTATAAATAATTCTCTAAGAAATTAGTAACCTACTTTTTCATAATCTCATTTTAGTAGTGTCATTTTTTTCTCTACAGTTGAATAAACTAAAAATAACTTTAATATAGGTATTCTACCTAGGAAGTTGTTTCAAATCAAAATTATCTACATATGATATTGGAATATTACCTGGAATATTACTCATACTATGGTTTCAACATTTGTTGATTCATAAGATCACAAGTGATTCATTCTTGTGAGAAACCATTGATTTTCTAAATGAATCATAAATGCATTACAGTCTCCATTACAGTTCTACTTCAACAATTGAAAATGGGAATGAAATTAGGAGAATCCTGTTGGAACAAATACTCATACAACTAAATGAAATTGAATTTTATTCCATATCAGAGACAAATTTCATGAATTAGAGAAAGTATGACTAAAAATAACATGCATTTTCTCAAAAAAGTAATGTAATAGGTATACAAACCAAAATGGAATTTACAATCATTTTGTTGGAAAACTCAGTAGATATATAGGTAGGTCCCTGTTTTTCATCATTGAAGAGATGGAATCTGGAATGAAGTTGAATTGACTGGTAATAGTGAGTAGTTTGAAAAACTTTATCAGGTTTATCAGTAATTGCCCAAAGGAATATCTAGGGCAATTAGGAATCACTTGAAGAATCCTGAATCATTTTCCTAGCTCTGTTCAGTTCTCATTGTGCATACCTATTTCAAAGGAGGTTGCTAGGTACCGAGCTAGGTACCTATTATTAGTGAGATTATTAGTCATAAGGGGGGTTTTGTTGTATTGAATCATCCAGTTAATGATTGATTACTTATACAGGGTTTATAATTGGAAATATTTCTACTATAGAATCCTGAGCTCAAAATATGAAGATTTAACCCAAATCACCTAGATGAAACATGTCTCCTGCCTGAGTTACAGGGTGTTTTATTTGAACATTTTGAAATTATTTTTGCCATTTTGCCTAGTACTTAGAAACCAATTGGCATATTAATGTAATATTTGGTTGGAAGTGTAGATACTATACACCCTACTTAATTATGTAAAATAAACGTTTCTGGCTACTAGCATATGACAGCAGCAATTGACTGGCTGATCCTTCCCAAATTCTACACCACTACATAAATATCATACTCTTCATAGCCATAAAGTAATTATTTTGATTTTTATGAGCATTAATTATGTCAATATTTTGGATGGATAGATTGCATTCATCAATCCAATAAAACTTCATACCATATTAACAAAAAATCATAATAACATGACAGGTGCTGTTAAAGGGAGTTTCTTAGTATAATATATAATATATAATACAGAAACATTTATTTCACATAATTTAGTAGGTTGTATAGTATCTACATTTCCCACCAAATATGACGATGATATATCAATTAGTTTCAAAGTACTAGGCACACATTTTATCTAGGTGATTTGTGTTAAATCTTCATATTTTTAGGTCAGAATTCTATAGTTCCAATATATATAATATATTTCCAATTAGTAATGTAGGTATATACAAGCTGATTCACAGTGGATAGCACATTAGACGATTTTGGTGAACCAGACATGGGAACACTTGAAAAATCTGATGGAAAGCATATCCGGACATTCTCTAGTCAATTAAAATGTTTTCGACAATGCGGTGTTGCCAGTTCTATTAGGAAGTAGTAGCTAGCAACTTTGCATGAGCAAAAAATTCGAAAATAGGGTAATTAATTAGACTGAAATTAGCCATTTAATCCCAATATGTATATCAAATCAGTGAAAACAATATTTTTCATTCACTGTTGCCTTTCAAAAATGGCTCTGCTGACTTCACCCCAAGCTAGCAAAGCCACTGGTTCCTGTTATGTAACAAAAAATTCCAAAATGAGACAGCTATTGAGAATACAATTAATACTGAGGCTTCGCCTCATAAAACCATCATAAAATATGCTTTTGATAGAAAAGCAGGTAATTTTGCACTTATCATGCGATGTTTTATTTTTTCGAATTTTTTTTTTGTACTTACGTATTTTTGTCTGGAAAACACGAATTTGATAATCAAAATGTGAACAAACCATTATTTATTGAGATATTTCACTATAAAGTTACGAATTTCACCTTCTTTTCCTCCTGTCTTCTGGATCGTATTTAGAACAATTTGGCCTTCTTTTTCCATCATTGGACAATTTATATATATTACACAATGTTGAACACATTTGTTTTATCATATGAGTCAACTAGAAATATAATTTTCTTGTGATTTATCCTCGGATTTATCCATGTTTAGTGAAAAGAAGGAAGAATATCATTTGAAATAATGGCGGATGCAATCTATTGACATTTGACATCTCGTATTTGGATTGCCTATGGATTAAATGGCCGTCATCTGGTATGCTTGCTCACTAAATAGGAAAATCTCGCCATAAAAATCATATTTCCTGTTGCATTTTCTATCTTAAAATGTGTCATCGAAGTACATCATGAGTATATAAAGTGTCCAATGACAAAATAAAAAGAGTAAATGCATCAACACAAGCGGGAAAATAAGGCAAAATCTCGAACTTTTTCTTGAGATATCTCGATAAATAGTGGTTTGTTCACATTTTCAGTATCAAATTCGTGTTTTTCAGACAAAAATACGTAAGTACCAAAAAAAAATTCGAAAAAAAACCCATCGCATGATGAGTGCAAAATTACGGAAAAGCATAATGTATAGTGAATAACGCATATTTCAACAAATCTGTTCGTGATATCAGATCAGTGGAAAATATGTTCTTTTCAATAATGGCTCTGCTGACTTCGCTGGAAGCTAGCAAAGCCACAGGTGTCTTGAATCGTCATAAAAGCTTTTGATGGCAATGCATAATAATGTATACATGTATAGTGAATAACTTGTATTTCAACAAATCGTTTTATTTTTTCTTGTTTGAAACGTTGAGCAAAAAATTCGAAAGTAGTGTAATTAATTAATTTAAAATTGGCAATTTAATCCCAATATATCGAATCAGTGAAAAATATACCTATTCTTTTCAAAAATGGCTCTGCTGACCTCGCCCAAAGCTAGCAAAACCACAGGTCTCTTTTGAAAAATATCCAAAATGGGACCGTTATTGAGAAAATACAATTACTAACGCTTTGCCTTATATCATCATAAAATAGGCTTTTGATAGAAATGCATAGTTAATGCCGAGGTTAATGTATAGTGAATAACGCGACAAATCGTTTCTTTTTTGTTTTGAAACCTGGCACAAACATTTCGAAAATAGGGTAATTAATTAGCCTTAAATCAGCCATTCAATCCCAATTTATCAAATAGGTGAAAAATCTATGTTTAAAAAATTGCTCTGCTGAATTAGTGCTGATGAGTTCGCCCGAAGTGCAAAGCCACAGATTTCTTAATGAGAGAGATGGATAAGAAATATGGGAATAGGGTAATAAATCAGCCTGAAATAAAACCTACAAACTTTCACTATATCAAATCATCAAAAAATATTGATTTTCAAAAATGGCTGCTGAGTTTGGCCAAAGCTAGCAATGCCACAGATTTTTCTATGATAGAAAGGAGCAAAAAATTCGGGATTGGGGTGATAAATTAGCCTAAAATGAGCCTAAAATTATGAGATTTGTCTCATGTTGAAATTCGTAAGCAGGGTTGGCATGAATTAATTCATACGAATTAAATAAGTGATTTAATTCGTGAATTAATTCCATTGACTTTTTTCGAAAAAGTCATGAATTCATTCAAATTTTTAAGAATGAGACAAATTGCACTATTACCTTTGATTTTAACTAGTTTGAACTGAAAAATTCGATCGTATTTTGGCAAGACTTTGTTATTTCAAGTATGACAGAGATTTTTACAGATATATACAGTATCAAGTATCATCCATAAAGTTCATAACATATGAGACCAGGTTTATTATCACAGCATCGAATTTTTTTCTCTCGGCGATGCATTATGCATATCCGATAACTTGAAAATCTATTTTGACACAATCATGTCACGTGATCACTGGTAAAGTGATAAATAAAAATAATACTATAAAGCGACGAAAAGTGGGGTTAGATAACAAAATATCCATAAACATTTCTGATTAAGTTGCTATTCCACATTCAGTTTCGAGCAATTTTTGGAGGAGAATTGGAAATAGCTATATTTTTTCGAATATTCTTCAGTTTTGTTACAATTCTCTTTTTATTCTGACAGTAGTGATGTTGATGATGTACAAGTTGAATAGAATTCAATTTCATGCTCACATATGGAGTTTCCAGCCATTATTTGAGAAAACTGAAAATAGCTATTTTTATTTTTATAAAATAACTTCATCTTCCCATCTAACCCCACTTTTTGCCATCGTAATTTTCTGAATTTACCGCGATACCAGTGCTCAAGTGACATGTGTCAAAATCGACTTTTAAGTAGCCAGACATGCATAATAGATCCCCGAGAAAAAATGTTTCGATATTCTACTAATAAACTTTTTCTCCATGTGTTACGAACTTTATGGATGATACTGGATCTATATGTATCTATTATTTTGTATTCTATCATCACTTTTAATTTTGTTTTGAAAAA